GTGGTCAGACTGAAATATAAAAACCGTAAATGCTACAGTTCTGCGGTTAGTAATTTGTGAAAGTGTAACGTACATTAAGATAATTAATTAACAGTAAAAATTATTACAAAAAAGGCAGGCTCATATAAGCATATTAAACAAAAGGCTTAATAAGGTCTTAATTAGCCTTTCCTAAGAAATATTTGACATACTTACAATTTTTGTGTATATAGCCAGATCTCCCTGAATTTCAGGATTTCCATTCTGTTTCGAAATCTGTTTTATTATCATAAGATAATACTGAAGCTAAAAGGTGCTTTTAATATTGTTCATATATATAAGCGTGCAGTTGTTAAGCATATTAAATTAAGGAATAACTGTCTAATTTTTTTGTTTCATGATGTGATCAATCAAGTGACTAGCGTGATAATTTACATAAACGCTGAAGGCATTTATATCCATAAAATTATCAGGCAAGCCAATCGATTGATCACTGTCATGAAACCAAAAAATCTTACAGTTATTCCTTGTATTTATGCTCTTTGTCATGTGCTACAAACCCCGCTTCTGTCTCTATTTGTCCCAGTAGTCCCTCGCATGATTTTTTTAAACTGCGCTTATTAGTGGACTAGATTTATGGAGAAATAAGGTATTTTTGCAATTTGTAATTTTATCTGGGACAAAGACAATTGGGAATTAAATCTTTAACAATGCATGACTAGATGCCCAACTATACAAATACAAACATTGCAGTTAATTATTAAAATATTATGGACTCCTTCTTGTCTAAAGTGTTAGCTTCACTAAAGACATTTTTTCTGTAAATACATGTATAGCAATGAGTATAAATTTAAATTTTCTGTATTCAAGTAAAAAAAATCTGCATTAAAGTCAAATCTTGCAGACAAAATTGATGGAAATTAAACAATAGAAAACATCTGTTTAAACAGGCAGGTATGTGATTAAATGTATTTTATGGTATAATAAGAAGGATTGCATATGTATATTTTACCAGAATTCTTCATTATTTTGGGACATTTATCTTAATAATCCCAAGTGCAAATAAAAGTGATTTGAAGGATTATTATTGTGATAATAAGATGATAGCATGTTGAAATGATACATAATGGTACTCTAAAGGGTCTCTGACCAAGGTAACAATGGTCCTATAAATACTATTGTATGTACTACAGTATAACATGCCTATAGCAAACACACTTATAATGAATTGACACTTACAGCGAAGTGATTTCCATTCTCCATGACTTAAAGATACATTGTAAAAATAGATACATGTATATAACAAACTATATGCTTATGAAGCAAATTCCTCCTTCCCTGGTAGTTTCTTATAATCATGTTTTACTGTATTTGGAGAGCAAGGATCCCTTCAATAATATTAAAGACACAAATGAAAGAGGCAAACTGGAAAAGAACTGTTTGACTCTCTGGAGAATGCTTAGTTTACAGAACACTTGGCCTTTTTATTGATAGGTGGAAAGGAAGTGTCCATCAGTCATTGACTATAAAATTGTCTCTTAGCACTCCATGGTGGAAACAATTGGCTTTTTCCATATCATAATGGAAAGCAATGATGGATCAATGCTTTCAATTTTGTTTAAATATATTTCAGTAAATAATGGTTATTGGAATGGAATCAAATGACTAAGGTTTCATTTTGAAAGAGATTGATTGAATTTGAACTTTATATTAGTTATTTCAGCCTGCCCAGATCTATGCTTTTCTTTGACTGGTTTTCACAAATTTTGAGAAAAGAAATAATTGGTCCAGAAATTATAATTTCTCTACAGGGATAGCATAATTTTGATACATAGTTGCTGCCATATAATTTGTAGAATCTTTATGTATTGCCATATTACTAAGAGCACTCTTAAGGGATTGACTGCTGACAATTTTTTCTCAAATCCAGTACCCTATTCTTGTACTCCTACAAGTTAGAGCCTCAGTTAATGTCCCTACTCCCTAGTAGTCCCTACGCTCCTTATATATATGACTCAGCGCCAAGTCAAAAATATCTCGCAGTGAACCTCTAGCATTCTTGGTTCTTTATCCTTATGTCACAGATCCAGTACTCCTGGACATATATATAGTAAGTTAAATTAAATGGATTACCGGTACAGACGATATAATCATTTGCTTAATTAATTGCATTCCATAAAAGAAGTAATTAGCCTTAAAATTGAACTAAAAGTTTTCTGAGGTACTAATTAACTTGAACCTTTGAAAATAGAATTATATTAATATAACCAAAAAAAAAAAATGGTTTCAAGCTTATATATAGAGCATTTGTGAGGAATTTGAACTTTCAAATTAATGCATTGTATTCGTAATCATTTTAAAGAAACGTTTTTTTTTTTCAAAAAAAAAATTTCAGACTTTTTGATCCCATTTTGTGTTTAATTTCTTTTTTATGATGATTGTCTCAGCCAAAGAAGTAATTAAAGTTTTTTTCCTTTGAGTAGAAGAAACATCTTCTTGCAGCTCTATTTGATTGTATCGTATACTTAGGCCTATTCTGGTTACTCTATTTATGAATAATTTAGAACTTTCGAAAAGAAGTTACTGTATGTACATCTTGCACTTGCTGATCTTAGTGAAAAATTCAGTTGTACCGTACAAATAATTGTAGAATAAATTAAATGTACACATCAGGCTGCCGTTTCAATGAAATTAAATAAGCATTTAGCAAAATTCTCCTCATCCTCCCTTTTATGTTTAAAATAAGATATTTTTTTCCCTCTCGTTTTCCAAAACAAAATATTCAATATGACATATACGTACATGTATCGTATATAAATAAAGAAAAGTGCAGAATGTTTATAAGTATGCATAAATTGAAAGAAAATGAAACAAAGTGAGTTATCAATTTGAATGAGTAAGCTACTGACAAACAAGTTGATGAAACAAGTGTTTGCTCAGCTATTGCTCTGCTCCTGATTTGTATTGTTTGAATGGACTTTTGAGCTTGAATACTGTTTGTTATATATCCTATTTCATTTGGAGTCTTGCAAACTGAAATTCACCAAGAATATTTGCAAAGAAAAAATGTCAGCTGAATTATCCTAACAGCCATAGACATTGCCTTTTAACCCAAATACTGCATTAATTTGATACAACATCTGGTAATATGATTTCATTACAGGAAATAAAATCCTTCTGAATAGACAGTTCAATTTGATACATCAAAGTATATTATCGCACAACTGATATTATTAAGTTACTAAACAATATCATTCCATCCAGCATGGCTACCATTTCCATCTGATTTTCTTTTTTGCACTTTATAGTGTCTCAGGAAAATACCAGCCTGTTGTCGGGGGTAAATGCAATGATTATATAACTAACTCTAATTGCTACGTATATGTAATTATTATTCTAAATAAAATCCCAATTTCTGTGTGTAATGTCAAATCTAGCTGGTTAAAAAATAACAAATGTGGAAAAAGCAGACTTGATACTGACAAAGGTTTTTCCTCTTCCTAAAGTGACATTATTTGCTTAATTCTTTGATTAATATATTTGCTGACTTTTCTGAATCATATGTGGGCAAGCTTAAACAATGTACCTATAAATCTATAATGCTGTGAAAACAAGACATTGTTTATGTAGTATTAATTTATAATGAATCCATGATTCAAGACCCATAGCTATAGCTGAAAAACTCTGAGCTTATATTACAATGTGCCTTTCTTAATTGTAATAAACAAGTTAATTTTCTGAAAGGTTTTGATTGAGCCAAAATATTTATTGGTTCAGAATGTTTTTTCACAAAACATCATTTACAGTTGAACTTCACTATCTTGAACACTAATATCTCAAATGCCATGGATGTTAATTTCAGAGCTATTTAGAAGTCCCAAACTGTTAATTTTCTATGAATTTATCCCATGATATCTCAGATCCTTAAAAATATTTTTGAAGTTTGTTTTTTTTTGAGGTCTCATTGAGTTAGAAAAAATCAAGGTTTGACTGTAAAGCATTGACTGTTATGTTTGACTTTCTGGGAAGGTGGAATGGAATAGGGAGACGGTGGTTGAACTCCAGACTATCAATTAGCCTGAAACCCAACAGATATATCCAGTATAACAAACCGTGTGAAATTTTCCCATAGAAATATTTTACTCCATTATCCATGCATTCTGGGAGTGCAGTGCACACTATAACACCACTTTGTGCCTATAATCCCGCTGATGCCGAAACTGCTATTATATGACAGTTCACCTTATTTTGATGTTTCTGATGGGGCTCGTGGTTTCTGCTGTTTTGTTAATCGCAAGAGAATTAGATGTGTATTGAAGCAGTAACTTGAAAGCATTGTGGGATCAGCGATGCTTTAGTTTTTTCTCTTCGTTGCTGCTCAGTAGCCAGACGAATTGTGAATCACACCCTGTTTTGCAGGGATGATTCTTTTAATTACCATGATGTTCTCTTAATAATAAAAAAATATATTTTTCGCCAGCTATAGAGTTTCATATTAAGGGACAATTCTGAGCTTCTGGGCACTTTTGGACAGTATTTGATTGGGTAAACCCAAATCTTATAAATTGCAAATATCGAACTTACATTAATTTGTGTTTTTTAAGACTTAATTTTTTTGTATGAATTATATGAAAATAAATATTACAGAATAAATTTTTCCTCCATGCATAAATCACATACTTAAGAACTAATACCCTCAATTCCTGCTATGAAATTTCTTTTAAAATGCTTATTAATATAAGTGTCAAAGTTTAAGGTGCTTTAAGTTATTCAAGTAATTTATGATTTCATCAATTTCACTCAGCTGGCTGCATGCATGAAAATAAAACCAAGAATTGAATGATCATTGACAGCTTGATCAAAATAGTAAAGAATGTGTGAAGATATTTTTCAGAAATGGAAATTAAAATGAAATAAAGTGCTGTATTAAGATTTTTTTTCAAACAGTATTATGCATGAAATAAATTTAATCAAAAAAAAAAAAAAAGTATTTTGACTTTTTTCTTTTTGTTAAATTTTAGGTGAGGACAATTCTCGTAATTTGGACAACAATCCTTTGGCCAGCAATGATGAACTGGAATCTCCCTACTCCCAGCAGATGGAGCTGTATGCAGTAAGTTACCGTCACATCCAATTTATCTAAGGTTTAAATTGGTCTCAATCCCAGTTAGTGGTGCCATATTCATGCATATTTATGTCACGTACACCAAAGTGTAAAACTGTGAAATATTCAAGTACAGTGTTATTAGCCAATTTTATTTGGCGCGCCAAGTAACAATGTATCTGCAGTTTGACTTTATAATGTGTATAACTTTATAATGGGCTTAACTAAAACACTTATTAAATTATTTCATAGCTAATAGTCATTATTTTTAAAATATGTAAACTACCTTTCACAAAAATTTAGAGATGCGTGGGTAAAATTTATTATTTGTATCAGCAAATTTGATTTGTAGGAATTCTTAAGAGACTTGATGTATCTTCAAGTTGTATCTTGTAGGATGATCTGCACGAAAGAGGAAAAATCTCTCAAATTCTTAACCGCATTGCCAATTACCAAGGTGGTGTGGAGCCCAATATCAGCGAAAATTACAAGTCCAGACCAAAGACGGTACGTGGAACTGTAAATAATAGATGTTTTGATAGAGTATTTTTGGGCGTCATTAAATCGCGGACGCCCCTCAGAAATGAAACATGAAGATGAACAAATGGAATTTTAAAGTAGTTCTCTTACATTTTCTTTTAACAGAAGTGTTGGGTGATATGATATTTATCAAGCCTACCAACTTTTCGATATTTGAATTATTTTAGACAAATTTTTGTCTTCAGCAGTAAGATATGTTGATATTGATTTTATTCTTTAACCACTAAAGCTATTATATAGACTTTTTTGTAAGCATCTGAATCGGCAAGGTTTTCATGAAGTGATGACTTATACCAAATCAGCAGTTTCTCAAACTGATACGACCTTGAGCCTAGCTTTAGTCATAGAATATTATAAAAATAGTGGTCATAAATTTATTCAAAAACTTTCCCATTACAGACAAAAATTTTGGTTTAATGTGTTATCTCAATTCCATTTGGAGGTATTTGGGGAGTTATAAAACAAGTGGTTGATAGATTTATTGTCTGGATCTGGTATTGAATCTTGATTTTTCTCTTAGGCTCAAATTGATTCTGCCAGCTTATTTATTCATGTGCAAAGAAAGCAAGAAATTTTAGGGGGGCTTACCACAACATGTAGAGAACCTCTCTGTTTGCACTCTGTTAGGTCGATAAACTTTTGAACTGCATATTGGTAGTAACTTATTTATTTAAAAATAAAATAGCAGCTCTCGATCTGGAATGATATTGAAGTTTTTGATACATTTTGGTCACGGGAATGATCCCTCTTAATCTATCTCTTTTTAGGGCTTAGAACAGGTAGTCAAATGTTGTTTTATTCACCATCCCATGATTTTTAGCATGACAATTACTTAATTTTTTGAGCCTATTTGAATCCATTTTTTGAAACATACATGCTCTTGTCTTTTGGCACAGTCTAAAACTTGGCATGTAATTGAAGCTGTGTCACCAAAATATTGTTGCATCAATTTTTTTCTTTGTATGAAAGAAGGCTATTTAAATTTTCTATCCCAAATTGAAATGAAAATGAAATCAAATAAATGATGATTCCTTGGGGTTAATTAAGTTATACGTTAAAGAAAAGCAAAAGTAGATGTTCCATGTCTTCATAGTTTTTTAAAATAACATTTTAAAAGGTATTGTGAAAATTTTAAGTCTTATAGATTATTTTTAAAATAATAAAACAGTTAAGGTTGATCTGAAGGTGAGTGTTATGTCATAGAAGATAATAAAGTGCAAGTCTGATTTTATGCTAGCTGGGAAAAAAAGACTTTTCATGGTCATACTTTGGCTTTTAAAATCGTATATTTTTGAAAGAAAAATTGACCAAATTTTTATCTTTTGCTATGATGCTTAAAGTTTCCTGGCTAGAATGATGCATGCTAAACAAATGCCAGCATTTTTTGAAAATTAATATTTTATCCTCATTACGGCCCAATCAAATTCTCTTTTTTTAAAATCAAAGGCATGTTTTAATTGCTCTGACACACAATAATTTTGCTTCATGGTTCAGGTTAATTGTTTGTGTATTTATGGCATTTTCACAATTTGTATTTGAATACAATAAATTGGAAGTAAATGTCTATTTAAATTGAAAACAAATTAAGGTTGGTAATTTTATCCCTTGCACATGCTGTATTGTACTGACTATACCAAAATGTCACATATTTTTTATTAAACCCATTTACGGGCTCATGGCTGTATACCAAGATTTATGGAAAACAAAAATTTGTCCCATATATCTTAATTTGTTAACCAGAAACAGCCATTTTTCTTTGATTCTTGCTTTCACAGTTCTTTAGATGAATAAGTATAATAAGATATTTTATTTTCTGTGTAGGTGAAGTTGGGTACTCTGTTAGGGGTATACCTTCCCACTATACAGAACATTTTTGGAGTGTTGCTGTTTATTCGTATGACATGGATAGTGGGGATGGCAGGATCTATAGAGAGTCTGGGAATAGTCATCATTTGTTGTTTTACAGTAAGTATACTTTATGCTTTTAAGCACATTCTTAAGAAAAAAATAATATGATAAATGTTTGATACCTGTAATTCGTTATCTTTGCCTGGTCATGCATCTTACCTCAGCCATGCAAATCTAGATAAACTTTGCTTCACATGGAAATATTAGACCAAATAAACTTTCTTAGAAATAAGATTACCTTTATCACAGAGAGAGAATTTCACAATTCGATAAGAATTTTTTTCTAAATAATCTGCATTTTGAATTGCTAATGCATGAATGCTGAAGGCAGTAAAACTAAGGAGCATCAACAAGTCTAGAGTGAAAGTTTGTAAAACTAGAAATTTACAAATAAAGAATTCAACCAGAAAAATTCAATCATTTCTTACTGGGAAAGTTTCAACATGCCTTTCAACATGCTATTCATAATTTTGATTCCCTGAATTTGTATTTTGTTATATTTATGTATATTTTGTTAATTTGAAAAACAGAATAATCATATTATAGAGTGATACATCCTTTTTCAGACTTTTCTGACAGCCATATCTATGAGTGCCATAGCAACCAATGGAGTTGTACCAGCAGGTGGATCCTACTTTATGATTTCCCGTGCACTGGGGCCAGAATTTGGGGGTGCTGTAGGGGTGCTCTTCTATCTTGGAACCTCAGTGGCATCTTCCATGTACATTATAGGAGCAGTGGAAATTCTAGTGGTAGGCAAACTATGTGTAAATTCTAGTTTTAAAAAGTTTTTAAAAAATCTATATATCTTCGACTTGAAGTTAATGTATTTCAACATAAATAGGGGGATGCTTACTCCTCCATGGCACCTGATCCCACCTCTGGTGATTTTTTTTAGATGTTTATGTTTGCTCTGCTCCCAAATTGTATTGTTTAAATATGATACTGAGTTTGATTATAATTCAACTTTTCATTATCTTTATACATGTATTTCATTTTACAAAAAATAATATATATATCTACAAGCAATTTTAGCCCTATTTCAGTTAGAAAATGAAAAATAGTCTTAAATTACAGAATATTAACAAATAAAATTCTTTTTTTCAGAAATTCATTGCACCTGTCATGTCAATATTTGGAGATGTAACCATCGAGTCCAATGCTTTCAATGCCTACAGAATCTATGGCACAGTGATTCTTCTTCTCCTATCTCTTATCGTGTTTGTTGGGGTGCGATTTGTCAGCAAGTTTGCAGCCCTTTCACTAGCCTGTGTCATTCTGTCCATTCTCTGTATATACATTGGTATATTTGCTGCCACAAAGGATGATAATGTGAGGTAAGGTGATTGACATTATCAGTGAACTTATTTTACAGTAAAAAATGGAAATGTTTATTTCCAGCTTTCAAGGAAACAAATTTGAAATGTACACTGACTTGAAAGCAGCAAGAAGTTTCCTGTAAACAATTTTTGAAATTCACTGTTGAAATCTTACATGAAATGTATAATTTAATTATCAAGTTTCCTATCTGAAATTATCTTTCAAGCTAAGGATTCTGATTTGGTCCACTCCTCTCAATTTCTTGACCTATTGTGTCATTTGTAGATGCCACATGATCTGAAATCCAAGCTTTTCTCTCCCAGATTTGAGGAAATTAAAAAATAGAAATGTTTTGATGTATCGAACACCGTCTTGTTGCCAACCAGACTACAATTTTTTTCAAACTAAAAACCATTTAAGATTCTTAATTACAAATTATGATAATTTTAACTCATCTTCTAGGATATGTTACCTTGGAGATAGACTGTTAACAAGTGAGTTAGCCGAGACCAATGGTGTGTTTACGTGTAGTAAGGCCAACAATACAGCTCTGTATGCTAAACATTGCTTCAATGAAACGTGCGATGACTTCTTCAATGAACATGAAACTAGAGTGGTGGACGGAATTCCTGGGCTGGCCAGTGGGGTGTTTCATGGTGGGTTGCCCAGAAATCAAAGATGTTAAAAAGAAACATTTGTCTTTGTTTTCTTTACATGTACAACATATGCAGAAAAACTCGTTTACATGTAGTACGAACACAGATACTGCGAATTCACGAATATAGTGAAATTATCTTGGATCCCAAGCTATATAAATTTAACAAATTCCTTATACGGATATAGTGAATTACAGATATAGCGAAGTAATTTCATAGGTCCCAGTGACTTCTTTATAACCGAGTTTTTACTGTACAGTGGACCCTCATTTATCCGGACGCCTTGGTTCCCAGTCAATTTGTCCGGATATGTGAAGTGTCTGGATATCTGAATTACCAGTTAAACAAGACAAAATAGAATTTAAAAATTCCGTTCCGATGAAAAGTCGTCCGGATACTTAAGCATTCTTATCTTGTATATCTGAAGGTCCACTGTATATCAATCTGTGCTCATCTCTAGCATTTGTTAAATTACAGATAAGAAAGATTTGTTAAGTAATGTTTTGTTAGTTGTACATGTATATTCTAAACACAAGTAGCAAATAAGGTAATAAACTTGCAATCCAATTTTTATTTCAAATTTTAAAGTTAATTTCAAAAATTGATGCAAAATGTGTAAGACTTCGATTATGTTATTTTTGTTTGACAGCCAATCTACATAACCGCTACACAGAAGAGGGTAAAATTATCGGCACTGACATGAAAGGGAATCGAGCTTACGGAGAAATCGTGGCTGACATCACGTCCTCTTTCATGGTGTTGTTGGCAATTTATTTCCCTTCCGTAACAGGTTGGTACAATTCAGTTAAACATTTTTTGCATTTTTCATATGTTTAATCCATAGTTTTCCATACTTGGATATTATGGTTAAATATGTAAATACTTACTGTATTTTCATTTTGAATAAACTTCTGGATGAGGGATTTTAATTGGGGGGGAATCTTTGACAGTATACATTTAAAGTATATCATTGAGGGAGTCGGCATGCAAGATTCCAGTTCCCCAAGAGCATGCAAGTCTATTTCCCGAGGCGCAGCCAAGGGAAATAGGCTTGCTAGAGGGGAAATGGAATCTTGTTGACGCCCTTAATGATATACTTTAACTGTTTTATTATACCGATATATTAAGTTAGTTAAGTGAACTTCAATATGAATATTCATGATGTTAAAATGGAACATATCGGTTCTTTTCATATGATTAAAAGAATCACTGGGTGTTCTGAATTGATGTGTGTCAGCACCTTTTTGCAAGGAATTAGTCTTTTTATTTTGATTTTCAGGAAATCGGCAAAATATATCAATTTACTTTTGTATAGTGAAAAATCAGTAGAGGTATAATAATTTACTTTGATATAGGACCATGATTTTCATGTTCAAGAAACCACAAATCAGCTGTACATTAGTAATTACAACTTGGTTGACGTGCTTATTACAGGTATAATGGCGGGTTCCAACAGGTCAGGAGATCTAGCGGATGCCTCCAAATCTATTCCAGCAGGAACCATTGCGGCCATTAGCACCACCTCTTTTGTGTGTATCCTTTGTTTTCCTGGAATTGACTCCAATTTATCTTAAACTTGCAGAGTAGACATTTTTTGGTATTCAGGGGTAGTTATGGGCATTGCTTTGTGTGAATGTTCATTTGTAAATTAAATGAGATTTTAAAAAAAAAATCATAGAATTACTGTAACTGATGTGAAATTTCCTTAATACAAGTTAGATTTTACTTGTGTACTCTTCTTTGCTGGCACAATTGAAGGGGATTTGCTAAGAGATAAGTAAGTATCAATGAAAATATGTGCATGACATGTGGGATATTACAGACCAATCAACGTAAACCATGTGACTTTTGACATGAACTCAGTGAACCTTGACCTTTCTTTGATGTCTGTTGGCAGATTTGGAGAAAGTATAAATGGTGGTCTGGTTGTGGCGAAGTTGGCATGGCCCACTGAGTGGGTGATTCTGATTGGCTCATTTTTGTCTACCCTGGGAGCTGGACTTCAAAGTCTCACAGGTTAAACGATAATAGCATTTTTTAAAAAATTCAAATATTACAAATGCTATTTATGATTTAACATACATATGCACATTCAGGTTTATTTAGGTAAATTATTTAAAGATTAATGCTTTAATTTTTTCAACTTGCACTTGAATATATGTAGTGGACAAGAGTAAAAGAAAAATTAGATAATTTTTATTCAAAAGTAAAAACAAGTACTTTTATTTGCATATATTTTCACTGTTGCAAATAGTAACAATAGGGTGTTCTAATGAGACTTTGATGTTTCTATAGGAGCACCTCGTTTGTTACAAGCCATTGCTAGTGACGGAGTTATCCCCTTCTTGAATGTATTTGGGGTAACCACTAAGAGGGGGGAGCCTTTCCGTGCTCTTCTGTTAACCGCACTCATATCGGAGCTAGGAATCCTGGTGGCCAACCTTGACATGGTAGCACCCATCATCACCATGTAAGTTTCCAGACCCGTGGACAATGTCATATTAATATATCATTTAAAATTTTCAATCAATGATTTGTGGTACATTTTGCATTCACTTGCATTCACATTCCCTTTGGGCTCAGTGAATATTGTACTTCTCAGGTGGCTAAATCATATTGACCTAAAAACAGAAATAATTGTATATTATTCTGACAAAGTGGACATGATTTTCTATATTTCAATTTGTTTAGATGTTCTCTTTTGATTTTTAAACTACCATTGCTACATTTTCCACTTAAGGTTCTTCCTAATGTGTTATGGATTTGTCAATATGGCGTGTGCACTGCAGACATTACTGAGAACACCAAGCTGGAGACCCCGATTTAAGTTCTACCATTGGTAAACTCAGTTTATTATTGCTACGTGATAGGATTCAGAACTGAAAGTTTGAGGACATTTAATTTTGGCATGTGTGATCATCTGTTTATTTTTACCTAGAAATTTAACTTTTGAACTTCATGAGATGAACTGCACAGTCGGTTAAGGTCATGAAGGTTAAAGGTTAAAAACAACTAGTGCTAATTGTAATTTCCCCAACTCCCTTTTAGTTCCATATTCCCTGTAATATACTATTTGTGAAAGCATTCAGTCCAAAATTATTAAAAATCACTCATTCAAGTGTATTTCTAATTTCATTCGTTCCAAATGCACGCACGTGCGTGCACGTGCATGATGACCATACCTTCTTGTAGGAGTCCCTTATATTTATTTATGTTCTGAATCCCATCCTGTTTGGTTGAAAAACAAGGGAGTTATAGCCATTTCAAGTGTCAGCCAATCAGATTGCAGCACACGTGCATGCGCGTGATTTCATGATCATTTTTCTATATGGCATTGTAGGATATCCTAATGAATGATTATGTTTTAAATTTCAAAGCATTTCGTCAAAAAACAAAGGAGATATAGTCATTTAAAGTTTCAGCCAATCAGATCGCAGCACACGTCCATGCGCGTAATTTCTTGAAATTTTTTGTATATCATATTGCAGGGCATCCTAATGTATGACTATGTTTTAAATTTCAAAGCATTTTGTCAAAAAACAAAGGAGATATAGTCATTTAAAGTTTCAGCCAATCAGATCGCAGCACACGTGCATGCACGTAATTTCTTGAAATTTTTTGTATATCATATTGCAGGGCATCCTAATGTATGACTATGTTTTAAATTTCAAAGCATTTCGAAAAAAACAAAGGCGATATAGTCAATTAAAGTGTCAGCCAATCAGATTGCAGCACACGTGCATGCGCGTGATTTCATGAAATTTTTTCTATATCATATTGTAGGATATCCTAATTCATGACTATATTTTGAATTTCAAAGCATTTCATCAAAAAACAGAGAAGATACTGAGATTTTTGTTTTAGCCAATCAGAGCGAAGCGCACGTGCATGCGCGTTTGGCTAATTGTGTGTCACATTATCAATAGTATTAATATATCTTTATATAATGAGTTTCAAATCATTTCATCAAAAAATGTAAAAGTAATAGCTATTTTAAGTATATCAGTCAATTCACTCATTTCACGCGCACGCACGTGCGTGCGTATGCGCGCAAAATGACCTTCGTTCCGCACACCTACACTACACACCTATTAACCCTAAAAAGGTTTTAGCTCAGTTGGGTGAACAGTTTCTGAGATATACAAAAAAAGTACAGGAGAAGAAATAAGAAAAAAAATAATAATAATAATAATAATAATAAGAAACAGAGTAAAAACAATATGTTCCCAAACTCCGTTTGGGGAACATAATAAGAATTTACAAGTCTAAATTAGCAGTATTGCATTTCATATAGAAGTATACAATGAAAACTGTCTACGTCGACACCTGTGCAGTCCAGCACACTGTGAATTCCACCGTTTAATTTCTTTTCCATTTTACTATTTTCAATGTTTTAAACACTGTGCAATCCAACACCTTGTATATTCCAACACAAACTTTGGCAGTGCCAGTGCCTGTCGATTCAGACATGTTTCACTGTATTTTGTAAAAGTCAAGTAAAACGCTCAGAAATGAATAATTGCTATAAAATTCCTACAAATTATTAACTTGTTACAGGATTCTCTCCCTTCTTGGACTGGCGTTGTGTGTTACTCTGATGTTTATATCCAGTTGGTACTATGCCTTGGTAGCTATTGGTATTGCTGTCTGTATATACAAGTACATTGAATATAAAGGGTAAGTTAGGAGGCACATACAATCTAATTTCTTAAAACTTTTAAATCTATACATGAATAGATATAATTGAGGGTGCTTGAGATAAAAATTTTGTAGACATGAATTTTGGTATCTTGAACATTTAAATCTCAAATACCATAGGTCAAATGATTGAGAAATTCTATCCAGTATTTTTGCCTCAATATCTTGGATCAGTGAACATGGATACTAAATATGTACTGGGTATTGTAGTGCTGAGAAGGAATGGGGAGATGGAATCCGGGGTCTGGCCATGTCTGCCGCTCGATACTCATTACTGAGAGTACAACAGGGAATCCCCCATACCAAGAACTGGAGGTATGGTATCTAAAAATAGAAATTTATAAATTACCTGGATGCTATTTGTTTTAAATGGAGCCATTCAAAGGGAATTTAACTTGCTGTCTGATTTTGTAGAGATTCAGAACTTGAGGTAAAATATGCTTTAACCCCCACAACATATTGTACCAGATTTCAACACTTTAACCCCGAAATATTGATGTGGAACAATAATATAAAGCTATTTTTGGGCTATTTAAAAGTGACAAATTCTTGCTATTTATTACAATATTTATCTGTTTTTTCCATATTTCTTAACCTTAACAGTGTTTTTGGTTTTCATTAATGTGGTGTGAAGGTTTTTCCTGATACTGCACATTAAAAAAAAATAGCTTTTGATTTTCATTATCTTCCACTTTTGTGTGTGTGGCCCACACCCAAAACAAGAGAAATCATGAAGTTTTCAGAAAAACCCACAATGTATTTCAAAAACAAAGATGATGCTGAATTATCTTATTATTTGAAATATAACAGACCACAGCTGCTAGTGTTAATGAAGTTGGAGGATGACCTCAGCCCCAAGTACCCACAAATGGCCGCCTTTGCCAGTCAGCTTAAAGCAGGTAAATATGTCTTCTAGACATTCTTATGATGAAATTGATAAGGCAAAAAGGCAAGGATGTTCATTTCTATGGAAGTTTGAAGCAGATTGTGTATCAGCTTGTTCGCAGAGTTGGTAATTAAAGTGGATGTCATACATAAGACTATTTGAATTTCTGTTTGGAATAATCTGAAATGTATTGTTTGCTCGAAAGAACTTTCATTGAAAGAAGTCTCACTGTTAATGGTCAATCACGATTTAAGAGAGCTACCATATAAATATATTTTGTGTTTAAACAGGGAAAGGTTTGACTCTGGTGAATTCTGTGATGGAAGGGAAGTACATGGAGAGATATGATGATGCCCAGGTTGCCAAACAGGTCAGGCTTAATTTGTATGTCCTATTCAACAATAAAGAAATGTACTCCTTTATTATTTAAATATGTGTTAACAAAGACACATTCTGATTGTAGAAATTAAGTAAGACCATAGAACAGTTTGGAGTCAAGGGATTTTCTGATGTGTTAGTGAGTGAGAATGTTTCTGTTGGAATGTGTCATATGTAAGTATCCCAGCACCTTATTATTCATATATTAAATCTAAATCCACTTCTGTCCATTTTTGTTTTTTAAGTTTTATTTCATAGTACTGTCAACCAAGTTTTATTTGCGTGCAAGGAATATTCTCTTATTCCGCGACTTACTTTTACTGGCAAATATTAATTGCTGCAAACCAATAATTTTGATAAGTATTTGTAGAGAATGTTTCCTCGGTCGCAAAAATTAATTGTGGGGGATTGATTTCAATATGACGGATCACTAATGAAAGATGACGTGAATAATAGTTGCTTTACAGTATATTGATACTCTTTAAAGAATAATTCACAATGTCAAAATTTAAACCACAGAAATGCTTTGAGAAGAGTTGAAATTTAGAGATGTAGGTTGAAATCTTTTGCTTTTGATATTAGTGTTTTCACCACAGTGTTGCTGGTGTATTGTATTCAGAAAAGGTAATTTGAAACATTTCAGGATACAGAATGCTGGTTTGGGAGGACTGCGACACAACACTGTGATGATTGGTTGGCCATATGGATGGAGACACGACCATAATGAGAGGAGCTACAAAGTCTTTTTGGGTCAGAGTTCAAAAAATTATTTCCCTTCCTTTCTTAGAAACATTTAAAGAAATAAATTGTAGGTGCTGAATCACTCTTGCTACTTTAAATCACTTTTTATTTGTGATCTATATGAGAACTTTATTTTTGCATAATTACACGAGACAGTGTGTTCACAAAAATTTAATTCTCGCACATAATAGATTTCTTGAATTATATAGAGCAATAACCACAATGTGTGAAAATTTTGTCTTGTTTATCAAAGAGTGAATAACTACCTGGCAAAAATAAGGTGTAGCGAAAATTTAGTGATCTACAGTACTGTATACAGGGTTATTTTCGCCCCTTGTTATTTTCACCCTTTTATGATTGCAAATAATTTTGCCCCGTTTTAATTTCGTCCAATTGCAGTTTTGTTTACGAAATTTTACTTTTTTCACTAAATTCGCCCCATTTTAAATTCGCCCACTTGTGTCTAGGGCGAAAGGGGCGAATTTAAAATGGGGGCGAAAATTTCCCAGTATACAGTATATAAAAAAAACTCAGAGTTAATGTTTGAGATAGGTTTGAGATCTGCTATCCTAAAACTTTACAAAAATGATACCTGATTTTGGGCATCAAAGTTGAATGCTATGAGAATGAAAAGATTTTTAACCATATTTTTTTGTTTCCACAGATGCTGTGAAGAACATAAATGCAGGACAAATGGCATTACTTGCCGTAAAGGGGATCAATTTGTTCCCATCCTCCAATGAAAAACTCAAAGGAACCATTGACGTTTGGTGGATTGTGCATATCCTTTTAAAATTTTAAATTCAAAATTATGCAGCTTTTGTGATATTTATTATAAATTTTTTTTTGGTCACCAGATTTAAATTTTTCTCAATCTAATTAAAATAAGACTTGTATTTTCTACTATAGGCTTCAGTATCTAATTTCCTTAACTCTTGTCACATGATGGAGGAATGCTGATGTTGTTACCTTTCCTGTTGAAGCAGCACAAGACGTGGAAACACTGTAAACTCAGGGTCTTCACTGTAGCCCGTATCCTTTATTTCATAAGCATAGAGTTGTCTAACTTGACAAATAAACCTGTCTATTTTGTGAAGAGTTGCCTAAATAACATGTCTATTTTGTAATGTGTTTTTTTTTTTTTGAGAGTGGAGAAGGAAGGAGGGTTACAGCTCTTTGGGTCAGTAATTTTAAAAGTTCTCTACATTTTGAATACATTACCTGAATGACATTTTGAAATTGAGCATTTTAAAAGAATATCTTAATGGGGAAATGCTAATAGACACTGGAAACAAAGGGAAAAGATGCTTTTATTAACAATTGTTAGTGCCCCTTGACTGTTGTTAGAACTTGAGGATAACACTATTCAGATGAAGAAGGATTTAGAGTTGTTTATGTATCAGTTACGAATAGATGCAGAGGTCCATGTGTTAGAAATGGTGAGTCACATTTAAAAACTGAGGATAAAAACTAAATCCAGTTGTATAGATATATAATAAATTATAGATGTGAAAGCTATACAGTAAAACTCGGTTATGACAAAGTCAATGGGACCTATGAAATTCACTATATCCGTAATTTGTAATATCTGTTTATGGAATTCATTAAATTTATATAGCTGGGATTCCAATATAACTTCGCTATAACCATGAATTCGCGATATCAGTGTTCGTACTAAATGAGTTTTACTGTAGGTTGTTTAACTGTTGTTGTCTTTCTTATAAATTAAATAGAATTAGATAATTAAATAAATTGTCATTAAATTACTGATGTGAAAGCTATAGGTTGTTTAACTGTTGTTGTCTTTCTTTACACAGAGTAACAGTGATATTTCTGCCTACACTTATGAAAGAACACTTATGATGGAACAGAGAACAGAAATGTTGAAACAGATGAAAGGAAATAAAAAAGAGGCATTGGGACATGTATGTTAGAAACTTCAGATTCAGATAATGATAAAGAGATGTACTGTATGCAGGGACATTTTCGCCCCACCCCCATTTTTTTTTGCCCCATTCGCCCTACTCACAGGAGAGTGAATTTAAAAACACAGTATAATTTTTAAAAGAATTGTAACCAGGCGAATTTAAAACGGGCGAAATATTTTCTAAGCGTGAAAGAGTGAAAATAACACCTCTATACAGTATTCTTAAAGGAATTAAATTACATTTACATGTATAATGAATTAGAATTGTCAATACCTGACTTTGCTTTAAGCCTGTTTAATTGACTATGTATTACTGTATTTCTTATTATGAATGTTTAAAGTAAACGACAACAAAAACTCGTACTCCTTATGAATTATAGGTGCAGTCCATCATTGACCAGTCTCACGTGACTCCGGTTTCTCCCACCAAGATCAAGCTGGAACCGGTTCAGGAGGAGAGCCAGGGACCGGAGAGTTCCACTGACGAGGAGAAGCTGGAATCTCACCAGTATACCTTCACCCCCGGGGCAGCCAAGATCGGCTCCACAACCAGTAATAATGGGAAAGCCGGGGATTACCTCCAAATCAAACCGTGAGTGTCAAGCAGTAGTCGACTGAAAAATTGCATTGTTAAAAGTCAAAGAATAGTCACATAAATTGCTTCTAAATGTGTGTGTATAATGGTATGATGTACATTTTACTATATTTCCTGATCTACTGTATTTTACTTTTGTAATCTGTTGCAATGGAAACTTGTTGCCTCAATACATATGCATAACTGGCACACCTTTGCATGTGAGATATATGTATTAGTTGATGTATCAATGTATCAACATGTTACAACTTGGAAATATTGAGAAAAGATAAGAATATTTGTCTACTTAAATGTCACAGAGCTTTTTGAATGCACTGTCTAATACATGTACCTGTATGTACCTTCAATATCCAGTTGTAAGGAAGAATTTTCTACAATTACCTATTATATAAATCAGCACACAATATGGAAGGTGTTTTTTTTTAAGAATGTACATTCTGACAGAAGTATTATGTTGTAGCGATTCCAAATTTAATGGCAATCTTAATAAGAAACCGTAAGTACCTCTGTTTCCCAGCATCATTTCCCCCCAGACACTAATACCCTCCCCACATTCACATTCTTAACATTTCAGGCTGGATCATTTGAAATGTTGCCTCTAGTGTGCAGATACACAGTTATCCTGCTTGATAAGCAAGTCATAATTTTATCTTTGCATTCAAATCCATTTTGATGATTTTTTTGTTCATTTTGAAACAAAATTGAATTCTCAATTTTTACTAACACAGCTTTCATACATTGATGCCAAATAAAGGGAATGGATTGGCTTTTTGATATTGAAGGGTTGCTGGTTTTTATTTTGTATTCATTGATTTCTGCATGGCTCTGTTTTGGAATGTTTTATAGATGAAGTTTCAGATACTTTCTATTTTGTCTTTGCTAAAGTTTATCCAGCAATATTTGGAAACTCCAGACCTTTTATGGTCTGATTGTTCAAACTTAACTGATGAAAGTTGATGAGAAGATGTGTGCAATGGTCTTTTTAAAATAATCATAAGTTAATTAAGAAATGATCAGAGAAAACACTGTTTATTTTTTCCTGATGCTCAAGAGGTCAAAGCTAGCTTATGACCTTGAACATATCAGAGGTCAGGGTTATCTTGTCTAGTATTTCTTCTCTCCTCTTGACTCTATCTTATTTACCGGTACACCATTAAAGTTAAAGAAATGAACGTGAACTGAGATAAAAGAATATTGTCTGGTTATATTATATAATCTAAAACTGTTTTCAGCTTATTTGCACATTCGCCTATCTTTAAGCATTTCTCTCAATTCTTAACTCATTAAATGCTCATTCATAATTTAAAAATTATAAATGAGTTTAAGAATAGAGAGAAAAAAACAAGGCCTGTAAATGTGTACATTAAGCTAAATACAGCTCTCTGATAAAATGAGGACCTTTTAATTAAGGAGGTTGTAGGAAAGTTGTGTCTGAATTTAGCACTCCTCATACATTATACAATATTATACTTTCATGTAAATTACTTGAATCTGATTCGTTTCACAGAAACATTTGATAAAAAACACTACTACCCGCTGAATAATGAAGCCACGCCCTCCAGCGTAGCAACAGTCAACATTGCTTGACGACAGGTGGTATTCCAAAAAGTAGCGACTGCGCGGAATTTATTCGCGCACGGTTCACTGTTATGTATTTGTATAAAACATTCAGTATAATATAATAAATATTGCATGTAGTTAAGTTAAAAATTAAAATTTTAATAATAGAGAGAAAAAACATTGTCAACCTGGCTGCATTAAGCCTCGGTTAAAATAGTTTTCTTGGAGGTTGTAAAATTGTTCAATGTTACACTCAACTACATGCAATATTTATATAGTAATGACTTTTAGTAGGGAGACATCACAAATTATCAAGTCTGAATAGGGTTGTCAACTGAGGGCATTTTTTGCATATAGTCGTGCACATGGCATAGAAACATCATATGGACACATTAATTTTAAAGTGAATTAATGATATAGTTTAGATAACATGTCATTTATTTTTCATAGAAACGAGCAGTTTTGTGTATTAACCTGCAGATCAATAAATTTGCTACCCTCTTCACTTTGCAGCTGCTAGTTTGAATGAATATTATGTTTAAATAATTGATATAAATGACTCTTGTGATATTTAGATATTATAAAATATCCCTAAATATTGTTTTTTTTAATGGCTGGATTTTCTAAATTATTGTAACTTTTATATCCAATTATTTGTTAAACATCAATTCTTGAGCATTAAATATTTATTTTGTCCTTATGTAATTGGGGAGGGGATTCAAAACACTTGATTTGTTATTGTCAACATTCATTAAAGATAGATGCTAAATTTTACTCTTTATCTCAATATTTAGTTCAAATGACCCTGAGGCAAGAGTATTTCTAAAGGCCTTGAGTTTGGGCAATGTCAAATTCAAAATATACGATATATTTTCTTAAACAAAACTGTGACTTGGCGAATTTAAAACAGGGCAAAATTGATTGCAAGTGTGAAAAGGCGAAAATAACCCGTATAAAGTATTTCTGGCCTTGACACAAGCCAAGCGAAAAACAAAACAGATAGCCTTGGGTCTGTTGTTGATAACCTATTTGATTTCTTTTGCAGAACCTTACTAAAAAATATTTAAGGGCAACCCATGGGAACATTGTCATATGATATTTTGTTTATATGCTGTCATCATTGCACAGGATGAAAATGATAATTTAATTAAAATGTTCACTTGAAATAAAAGATATAAATACCATAGGGAACATTGTCATATGATAATTTTGTTTAATGCTGTCATCTTTCTTAAAGAGAAGTGCTAAATTAAATTGGGTTAAAATTGTCTCAATTGCAAAAGGGGTGAAAATAACCCTGTATGCAGTATCTCAGAAGAGTTACAGTCAGTGGGCCTCTTGTTCTTGATTAATTTTTCTTGGATTATTTGTTTTAAAACCTTTTTTACAGTGACAAGAAGAATATACGACGTATGCACACTGCTGTAAGACTGAACGAGGTCATCATAGAGAAGTCACATGAAGCTCAGCTAGTCATTCTCAACCTCCCGGCCCCACCCAAGTCTGAGGCAGCCGAACTCAACTGTATCCTTTTCTTTGTTGTTGTCAGCAGTTAATTTAAAGTTACTACAGTATATTCATGTTTTGAGCCATTACCATGGACTTTGTGGGTGGATTTATATTGGAAAATATTAGATTTGTTAGGAAGACCATCAAGGAGCACCCCCACCCCTCTTTCAAGGTTTTGGCACCATGTATGAAATTTTATGGAAGTAATTTTTTTTTCACTAAACAGAGGTCATTATAGACTCCAAAGTGCGATGGGACTCCAAGATCTGATGGTCACGCCAAAGTCCGATGGTCTGCGCCAAACCCCTATGTTTAACACGCCAAAGTCTGATCGATGGTGCTGTAAACAATTAACGTTTATGACGTTATAGTACTACTGCGCAAAAATACGATGCCGCGCCATGCAGAGGCCCGATTGTTTATAATATATACAAATAAATATTAAATGCAAAGACTAACCTTAATCTTTTGGATATAGGTGCGAGATTAATAGTCGAAAAATGTGTAACAACTATAAGCTAGTTATCTTGGATGGGTGCATGACTAACCCAAAGCAGTCCAATAGTGTGCGAGGACTAACCTTAAAATCTCTGGTGAGTTCGAAGAAACACATTGGTGTTCAGGAACTAACCCTTATCAGTCAAATGGTGTACAAGGACTAACACTAATAGCTCTGGTGAGTGAAAACAATAAGCAAAATCAGTAAAACTGTATGCTAGACAAATATTAAATCAATGGATTTTGAATGCAGGAAAACGTCATGACGTCGGACTATTGTGACGTCATAAAGGTTGATTGTTCCTTCGCATCATTGGACTTTGGCATATCAGACCATCTCACTTTAGCGCAATGTGTCTCATAGGAAACAAGTCATCGGACTTTGGCGTCACCATCGGATTTTGGTATCCATAAAGACATCTAGCCATCAGGGTTTGGCGCAGACCATCGGAGTTTGGCGAGACCATCGGACTTTGGCGTCACCATCGTACTTTGGAGTCTTACAAATATAATTATGATCTGTGGTGTATGCATGAACATATGGAGGTTGTCACTTGATGGAAAATACTTTCTAATTTCTTACTTACTGCAAAATATTATTTGGCCTTAACTGAGTCAGTTATGGAGTACCTTGAGGTGTTGACCGAGGGCTTAGACCGAGTGCTAATGGTCAGAGGATGTGGAAATGAGGTCATCACCATCTACTCATAATAACGTCAGAATGAAATAACATTGGTAAATCAAAGAAGGTGCAGATTGGGAAAAAAAAGATTATACATTGTATATCTTCTTGTTATGAACTGAAGATGTGTGCATATTCAGTCACCATCTAAGGGGATTTTTTTATGGTAGATGATTTTGTTTAAAGTACAGATGTAAAAGTTAGTTAGTTTTTAACAATGTGCATGTTTTTAGAGATAATTATTTCAAAGCTTGTATTTTTTTTATTATTGTATTTTTTCAACTGTATGTGATAGAGCAATAAGGGCCAAAGGATTTTTTTCACAGGAAAGGGGAAAAGATTGATACATATCTAAGTTTAATTGATTTTCACAAATTTTTAAAAATCACTATAGAATGTAAAAAAGTCAATAGTTTTCCTGAAATATATTTTGCTTTCATAAGGGTTTAGTTGTACTGTGTTAGTTTATACTCATTTCTCCACCTTTTTGCTGCTGGAAATGTTTATACATATAACTTGTGTAGGCGTTTCAACGAAAATATTTTTGAATGCAAATATGGCTCAAAATATGACATATTGATATAAAATGCCATGAAAGGTTATAAAGCAACATGCATGATTTCTTCTGACAAAAGTACATTTTCACTGCTTAATAGAAAGTAAATCGCATTATTGAACATCTGTGGCTCTAAATTAATGATGATGTTTGTGTTTTCAGGAGTAAAATTACCATCCTTAAATTAAGGTGCATTGACCTTTTTGATAAGAGAGGTAACTCTAACTTGGATTAATTATGTTTATCTCATCAATTTCAAGGGTTTTTCTTTGAAAATTGGCACTGTAGGATATGCAGAATTTTTTTTGTATTTTAAAGCAAATAAAGATTATGTTGTCAAAAATTAGGCCAGTCATGATTTTTGCCATATGATAATTTGTATTTCTATTTGGGTGCCATATTTAACATGACCCGTCTTATATTGTGTGGATTACATGTTTTTAAAATAAAAGACAAATGCTGTCAGATATTATGATAGTTACCAAATGTATCTATGATAATTTATGAATATGTATTATATTTTTATTGAGTGAATCACAGAAATATATATGGATCTAAGTGTATTATGTATAGGCTCAGGATGTATGTAACTGCTTTAAGATTTTTATGTTTTTTATTTGCGTGCCACTTTTAGTTTGAGTGACATTTTACGTTATCAGTGATAGCCAATCATATGTTGTTTATTTGATTAATTTACTGTCTCATATACATGTATAGTAGGTTGTATTATGCCAATGTTATAAGTGATATATCTACATGTTTTAACCAAATCAAAGAATTTTGTAGGGATTAAGTATATTATTTTAGGTATATATACTCAGTATTTTTGTTAAAGCATGCCAGCAATAATTTAACATTTTTATTTTTAATAATTGATTATCATTTATAGAATTTATTCCATGCCCCCTAGTCGGTTTTATAACACAAATGATGTATGGATTACCGGTATCTATTGAATTATTATTTTTCATTCAAAAGCTTGGTGCTCGGTTGCTTGTCTGATTGACAGCATAAATATGAACTATACACAGAAAAAAAATTGATCTTATTTTTTGGACTTGCATTGCACTTTTTCTATTATTTTTACAATATTATATTAAATATTTAGTTTCCAATGCCTAATTGAATGAATTTGAGACATTTCATAGATGAGAGAGTTGTTGTATTGGTTTTTTTTTTTAAATATCTAATTACAAAATACACTAATTCAGTAAATAATTATGATGAGGAGTGCCTTCACCAAAATTGTGAAATTCATGGCCCCAGGTTCAGGGGTTCTGGTGTTAGGGCAGGGCTCTATTGTTTATATAGTGAAAATGTATTAAATCATTTCTTTCTCTGTTCCTAGGTTTTAAATAAACTTAAGTAAATAGTTATAACACCACTTAAAATTGTAACAGGGCTTGAGGGCGGGGCTCTATTGATTATATAGTGAAAATCTTAAATCTTTGAAAATCTTCTTCTCTGCTCCTAGGTTTTAAAAAACTGACTAAGTACATAGTTATTGATACCAAAATTGTGCTTTTATGGCAGTTTGCTGATTAAATATAACTGGAAAATGCATTAAATCTTTGAAAATCTTCACTCTGCTCCTAGGTTTTACATTTATAACAGTTATGTGGCTTTAAAATTGTGAATGCCTACATGTGTAACAAAACATGAAACAAATTCAATCATTTGAAAGTTGTTGCATGATGCTCAGGTGACCTATAAGGCCCGTGGGCCTCTTGTTGTAAAAGCATGCCAGCAATAATTTAACATTTTTATTTTTAATAATTATCATTTATGGAATTTATTCCATATCCCCTAGTCAGTTTTATAACACACATGATGTATGGATTATCTATTGAATTATTATTTTTCATTCAAAAGCTTGGTGCTCGGTTGCTTGTCTGTTTGACAGCAAAAATATGAACTATACACAAATAAAAGAATTGATTTTTTTTTTGGACTTGCATTGCACTTTTTCTATCATTTTTACAATATTGTATTAAATATTTAGCTTCCAATGCCTAATTGAATGAATTTGAGACATAGATGAAAGTATTTTTGTTATCAAATTACAGTTGAATGCAATATCTTAAACACTGTTATCTCAGATATGGCTATGTCAAAATGAGTTGGAATTCCCAGCCATTTTATCTTTGGGTATAACACCACTTTTTTAACAAGGCTTGACCGTCAAAGAAATTCTCTTGAGAAAAATGGTTTAAAAATGATAGGATTTGATACTGTGCTTTACAGTTTGTTGATTAAAAATAGCTGGACTATAAATTACTTGTACACTAGGTTACATTTATATCCTGACTTTATGAAGTACATGTGTAACCAAACAAAAATTTAAAAATTTAAAAATATACAATGTATGCACATGTATAAGTCCATATCTGTGGAAATGATTGATTGATTGAATATTGTTTAACGCCGAGTCGGCAATTTTTCAGCCATGTTTCGGCGGACTGTGGAAATGAATTTCTCAAAGTCTCTGAATTTTATTTTAACTTTCTTGGTTCTATCTGACAATCTTTTTTTTTTATTTATGTTTTTAAATACACTAGTGATAAAATCCATTTTAGGTTTCTGCAAGGCAAACATAGCTATGACCATTCTGTTCATGTCAAAAAAAAAAACTTTGTTTTTAATAATTTAATTTTAGACTACAAGGTAATAAAAATGACTCATTAACCATTTTCCATTAGAATAATTTTTTAAAGGATTTTTTTTTTTATAAATGACAATCTGTATTTAGAAATTTATAAGCCAAGTAAAGTTCACTGAGATGAAGTAAAAATCAATCATACATTTGAGAATTTAAGCATGACAACACTGTAGTTTATCACATGAAAATATCTAGTTTTACACAATAAATTATGTATGTAAAAAGTATTTTATTGCATTATATGTGTTATGTTTTCAATGCATTACATGTAATATTAATTCTATTGCTTCATGTTTTTCCTGCATTGACTGTAATGTTTTATTGTAGCATAACATTTAACTGATATATCTTAAAATTTCCTGTTTATCTTCCTTGAAAATATAATGTTATATTTGGGAAAAACAAAATTCTCCAATTTCATTGCCTTCCAGAGTATTTGGTTTTAAAATGAAACAAAGAATGTGGGCTGATATTTCAAGCATTGAGACATGAAAGAGAATGTCTATCACTGGTAATGAAGAATGTGGTTAGCTGCAAAAGTTGATGGCCTTTTTTGTAATTTGAGGAAATGTACAGCTTTCCCATTCTTTCTATCTTTTGAAAGAGATTCATACAATTTGTCATGACTTTATTTAAAATTGTTGAAATCTGCAGAGTGACCAAATTAAATTTGTGTACCAAATACATTGTACTTATTTCATATATGTAAACCATATCACTTGAGCTATATTTTTAATGTTAATATTGTGAAAACTTTGTGTTTAGTTTATGGCTTCAAATTGATTAAATGATTATTTATTCTTAAATATTTTGACTTTATTTTGCTCTAAAAATTTGATATTAAATTTGCTTATACTGATAAAAAAATACTGATAAAAAATGAGATGAATAAATGAAAGAGATAATTCAATGAAAAGCTAAATGAGAAAGCTTCTATTTCAAAACCTCTTTTTTTAAATTTATTTAAATATTTTAATTTAAGGCAGTTTAATACTGTTTTAAATTTTTTTGATAATCTTCCAGAACTAGTGAGGTAGTGTGGGTGTACTAGTCAAGCATGACCCCATGACAGCTGTTCTGTATTTGATCAAATGTATTAAAGTCATGTACTATTGATATGTACTACATGTACAGAACTGTATTTCATACTTTTGCTATAAGATTTTAAAAAACATCTAGTAGTTCAGGGAGGTGATTTTTGATGACATGTGGTAAAACAACATGATTTTTTTTTGTTGATAAAATGAGACATATTACAAAGAATGTTTCAGAGAATGTTGAAAATGTATCTCGACTCATATCAACTCATTGGTAATTCATTATTTTTTAGTTCTAAATAGAAGAATTTTGCATGATTTGAGCCAGAAAAAAGAATTTTTTGTCAGAAATAAAGAGAATATTATGTAGATATTTGATAATTTATGAGATGTTTAAGTGCAATTTTGATTTCTGTGATTGTTGTAGTTAAATTAATTAGAGCATTTAATTTAATAAAGCCAGATTCTGTTTTCTGAGATGCAGTGAAATAAATCTATCTGCTTATTTTCCTGATTTTATTGTTTTGTGTCTTTTCCTGGAATTGTTACTTTGTGTAATTTTGCCAAGAAGATAGGAATGGTATTGTAATTAGAATGAATGAAAAGCCATTTGTGCAGGGGTAAAGCAAATTTTGAAAGGGGGGTTCCAGGGTTGTGTCCTCTTTTTGATACACTCTCAGAAAAGATTACACACACATGTAAAAAATCTACCATTGTGGAAAATTTTTTTTTATACAGATGGAGAGATAATCAATACATAATAATATCCATGCTGTCAATAAAGAAATCAAAATCTCTTTAGCCTTATAATTGAATGGATTTGCAGCATTTCTGAAGAGTTAGAATGAATTTTCTGACAAAGAAAATCCTGTTTTTGGGTATAAAACAATTAATTAAATTTTAGTTCCCTTCATAAGATTTAGTTAACAAAATGGCACCAAGTTATATAGCCAACACAGCCAAACCAAACCTCATTAAATTTAACCTCGCATGTTACATTTCATATATAAGATATATAAAAATAAGAAATCCTATTCATCACACAAAGTAATTATATAGTGAAGGTGAATCAATTGTGTGAGAAATTTTCAATCAGGGACCTATATATTAAATTATATATAGTTAGTATACAGGTCCCTGATTCAATACATATTTAAGTTAGACGTACAAATACTTATTCTCAGGAAACGTTTTATCCCCCTTACAAAATTTGGAGAGTCTTAAAATTACCACTTGGCAAAAAATCAAGGGGGGGGGGGGGTTTCATCTCTTTGATTCAGATGTAATGTTATGTTACAAATACTACAGTAGACAATGAAATGTCTACCAGTCAGTCCAGATTTCTTTTTGATACAGATGAAGAGATAATCAATGAACTTGAATGAAGAATGAAATATGTACTATCAATAAAAATAGATCTCTTTTTTGGTAGAACTAGAGAGAAAAGTTAGAGATCTACTGACAAAGACATGCAATAAAATGTCTATCAGTCAGTAAATATGTCCAATTTCAATGATACAAATGGAGAGAAAAATTAAAATTAGGAACAGTAGAGAATTACTCACATCAAGAGATATCACATCTATTTTTGATTCAGATGCAGAGAAAACACACAATGTCAGTTTAGAACAGAAACAAAGTCTTCCTCTTCATAAAACATTGCTTGTATTGTTTAAGATTTTAGGAGTTTGTAGAGATTGGTCTCAATTTTGTAAATTTTTATCAAGAAATCTTTAGAGATTTTAGGCAGATTTTAAGTCTGTAGAGAATGTT